ACCCCTCCCCCACCCCACCCCCTCCCTCCCTCTCCCCCATCTTCCCAGCCAGAGTTTGGTGGGTATAGTGTAGTGGATACTCTCCCCTACAACTGCTGATTGGTCACTTGCCATCCGCTTCCCACCCAATCAACGACGAGTTCCACAAATCAGCCCTCACATTCGAACTGAGCGGTGATTGGTCAGTTGCCGCCTTCATATCAGCCAATATGCAGCGTTTCTCATCTTTGCACTTCAACTTTTGATCCAGCAGAAAGATATAAATACCCCCCCTGCCTCGCCGTGAGGGCAGACAACACCAAGCTCTTAAGAAGAGAAGACTTCCTCTAAAGAAGCTTCTCCACAGCAACTCCTCTACTACGCAGCAACTTCCCAGCACCAGACTGCTCTGTACATATAATATATACAGTTGGTCCTCATATTACGCGGTCCCGCATTCCGCGTTTCACCGTTAACGCGGTGCCTTGCCAGAACCTAACATTCTTACATTCCGCGTCAACGCCATTACGCGGAGAGTGTCCGGCGCGACGCTATTTATAGATTTTCCCACGCCACGCCCGCCCGCCTGCCTGCCTCTCCTCCTCCTCCCTCCTCGCTTGGGCAAGCGGCGCCGGTAAGGTTGCGCAGTGTGTCTGTTGGCAGTTATCACTGACGTCATATGACGTATCAGACCTGTGATTGGCCATGCATCCCTACCCTCCTCTGCTGCTAGCTGTAATTGGCTTAAAGTATTATGACGTGTCCACCCAGGGGGAGGGAGGAAAGACGACGCTTGACCTAGCCGCTAGTTTATCCTCAAGGCCACATGGAGACATGTGTTGCATGGAATACCAGGTGAGAGGAGGAGTCAATCTGTGACTGGTGAGGTTCAGACTGTTGCAGTAGCAGTGGACCTTGCCAGAGAAGCTGCGCAGACTGTTACAGTTCCAGGCTTCTCCGAGACTACCAACACGCGACATCCTGGAGGTGATCAGAAATCCTGAAGTGACTGCCCCACGAGATGTGAAGAGGAGGAAGAAGGTGCGCAGTCTCCGAAGAACACAATTTAAGTCATAGTGATATTATGGTGCCATGGAGTGTAGAGAAGATGAAGTCCTTCCTTTCCCGCGACAATGACGATGACCGCTATGAAGTCTTCCATAACCGGCTGGTGCAGGCCATGGAGCCGCATATCAAGGTGTATCACGACAACATCAACGCCAGCCGCCAGTAAAGGAACAGATTTCACCCGCAACCCACCACAGCCAGCCCAAGCCAGTGATAGTGACAGTGAAGTTGACTTGAGATTTGTGGCTCCTGACAACTGTAAGTGACAGTGATGATGATTCACCTAGTAATGGTGATTCACCTGAGGGCCAGTAATCTGCCCCTCTGCCTCTGAACCAGCCTCCATCCCCGTGATGCCGACCCATCTCTCTTACTACCGTAAGTGTTTCACCTAACTTTTAGTTTAAGGTAACCTCATTTTTCCTATGTTAACCTTTATCTTTCCTAACCTAACCTCTTCTATATTACTTGTTTTTCATACCATCATAAAGTTAAGATAAAATTTTTACTGCAACATAGTTATGTGTCGTCAAAAAGTGGAGTTTGGGGATCGGCCCGGACTCCATTTTAATTAATCCCATATGTTATGTTGTTCACTTTACGCGTTCCTCACTTTCCGCGGGACCCTCCGGGTTACATTAACCGCGTAATATGAGGACCAACTGTATATAGAAAACGCCATTGTGAATTTCCTTTCTCACCTCCATCCTGAGTGCGCGATCTCCCTTATTGTATGTGTGTATGTGGCCATAACAAAGAGAATTGACACACACAAAGAGAAATTAGACAACTGGCCACATACACTATGCTACAATAGGCTTTAAGTTTTTATCTTATATAATATCACAGACTATTTAGGAGAATATAATTTGCATTGCTAGAATCCTTGCAAGACAGCAAATAATTTGAATATAAACGCTATATATTTTGCACGAGATAAAATTTTTAGTGCATTTCAGTAATGTACAATTTTTCAATTGTATTTTTGGGTAGATTTACATAAATTTCTTTCCTTTCTTTTGTTCATTTACATGCACACACCATCCTAAAAGAAAAGTAAAGAAATAATTGTCTTAAGTGCAAACCTGTACTGTACTAAAATGTACACTAAATTAATTACAGTACAGTGAACCCTCGCTTTACGTGGTTTCACTTTACGCGTTTCTACATTTACGCGGTACCCTGCCAGAACCGGAATTCCCACTTTACGCGGTGCCTCTATTCATATACTCGGGTGAAGTATAATTTTTTTATTTAGCTCATAAAATTCATACAAATTATCCGGCCAGAATACAATTTACATTGCTGGAATTCTTACAATTTGATGATCATTTTGAATATAAGCATCATAGATTTTGCATTAGACATACAAATTTTAGATCTAATGCAAGTATTTTGTTTACTCAGAGCAAATATGTTATCTTTTGTGCAAAATATATGACGGAATATTCAA